TTACGTCCCCCCAAAACTATACGATATGCATATGAAGGAGTCTGTAATGGAGGGCTCCGTAAATATCGACCATATGGAGTTATTTGACGCACATATACATCGGGCAGGACATGGGAATCTACCATTTCGCCTCCATCGAAATGTGACCGCAGCGGCCGGTATCAAACCGGTGACCTTCGGGTCAGCATTCGAGCACCATGATCACTGCTCCACCAGTGGACCTCAGAGTTTAATGAGAAGGGGTTAAATACACGAACAAAAATAATAATTCTAGCCACAGAACCATAAATAATAACAGTGCTATACCAACACCTCCTAGATTTCCCTTGCCTGCCGGATTATCGGCGGTCACTTGAGAAGCGGCGGTCGTCGAAACTACGGTGGTGGCGCCACTCAAGCAGGGGGTGTCTTCGAATAGGTTTTTACGTTTTTGGAGCTTATATACAACAAAAATAACGTAAACAAGTTTTGGAAAGATGTAAACGCATAATTATAATGACCCTACGTAAGTGAAACCGTCATTCAACAAGCAACTTTTTCAATACAAGGCATAGCCTCTGAAATTAGTAGCAAACGCCGAAATTGTCAATCTCAAAGGCCAAGTACAAAGACCCTTACTCCTACGTAGGCAGCGCCTCCATAGATGACGGCCGTTTCGCGCTCATCCGGCAGGACAAGGGAAATCTAGGAGGCGTTGGTAGATAGCACAGCCCAGTAGATAGCGCAACTATCACCTTCGTGACTATTCCTTCGCCTTTACTGTTTCCACCGGCTTCTCCCGTAAGAGTGTCTTCCTCTCTCAGAAAGCGTGTGGAGGCGCTCGTCTGCGCCAGCAGAGTGGAATTGAGTCGCTGACGCAGCACAATCGATGCCGATATAGGCTAGGCCTACGTGACAGACCGACGCATTCTGTGTGACCGCACAATACCACGGCAATGTAATTTTCTCTTCTCCTAACACGAGTTAAGACCTGCGCTAATTCTTGTACGTTATATTTGCACATAAAAGCTCACCTCGAATCAAGAAACTGGTTCTGCTCTGCAGTCAGGACGAAATCCCGTTGAGCGTGCTCCAAGGTTTTTCTTCTTCTGAACGTGCCAAAGCTGTGGCACGTTCAGAAGATGAAGGAACCTGAGAACTACACTAACCCACAACGGGCAAAAGTGGTGAGAGTGAGCTAAAGTTATGATTTATCATAATTATTAATTGCATTTCTATGAGCACTTCCAAAGTATTATTATTAATAAATCTAGTCTGTACGATCCACGCCCAACTCTTGGTCGATCACCCCAGAGTGGGTAGGTGCCAATAATCCAAGGAAGAAGCATCATCTTCGTTGTCATCATTATAATCATCATCATCAAAGAGGTGATAGCTTTGATGAAAGAAGCGCTGCAGTTGATGAAAGAAGAGGAAGAGCCTAGGGGACATTGGCCAAGAACCGGGTAGTACTAACGAAATACTGTTAATTTCTTAGCTCACGCCTTTTAAACTAATAAGAGAATCAGGGGAAAATTAAATAGAAGACATTGGCAATTACAGATAAAGGATATAGAAAACGAAGCAAATAATTTCAGTAACAACAATAAATAAATGAATAAATATAGCAATTTGGAAAAAAAGTAATTTAGGAGTAACAATACGTTCCACAGCCTGAATCTCTTTGCAATATTTAATGAACTCCTGCAGGGCATCGGCAACTTTCCCGTCACTGGATCCTAGGTACAAAGCTCCAGAGAAAATTTCAGCCAATGAAATAGCGAACACAGGAAACGAAGAAGGAAATCAGTAATTACAGCAAATAGCGAACGGCGAATAAACTGAAACTCTCAAAGATGCTATTTTGATGAAGTAATCAATGCGGAGACAACGTTCTACAAAATGCTCTCATTCAAAAATTTACTCGCCGACTATTTTTTTATTTCTCCTGTGGGACGCAGATTTAGCACGGTTCAGCGGGAACAGGCTACGCTTGTGAGCACAGGCATAAATTTTCACATCGGTAGAAACGTTCCAGTCAACCACGGGTTCCTGACCGGGTCCCTACGTGGGAGACGCACGCTACGCACTAAGCACGTCCTGCAGGACCGAAATAAAGTTTTTTTTTCATTCCATTCCACGCCAGTGCGTGGAACTCGTTTGTAAATTGGCCTTGGACAGGCTTGGTGTTGGGAAATAAATAGCTTATGAGTAATTAAGTGTTTTATAACATCCAGGGATCAAAGGAACAACCAGGCGTCCCACAACAGGAACTGCGTAACGAGTGGGTCGTCCAGTACTCCAACCCGTTATGCAACTTGTTCGTGATCGCCTATGGCGCATACCCACTTCAGGCATAATTCTTCATCGTCATCAAGCACTGCACAAAAAATTGCACAAAATTCCTAACAAGTGCGCAGCGGATACCACGCTTCTACGGAGAGTGACGAAGGATAGCATAGTGAATGCAGGCCTACTACACAAAAAATTGCAGCATATCCACGGAGTGAATGATGATGAGTGGGGCGAAGCGCTGGAGGGTTTCATCCATAAACCATGAACTATCCAAAAATTGCAGCATATCCACGGAGTGAATAATGATGAGTGGGGCGAAGTGCTGGAGGGATTCATCCATAAACCATGAACTATCCAAAAATTACAGCATATCCACGGAGTGAATGATGATGAGTGGGGCGAAGCGCTGGAGGGTTTCATCCATAAACCATGAACTATCCAAAAATTGCAGCATATCCACGGAGTGAATCATGATCAGTGGGGCGAAGCGCTGGAGGGTTTCGTCCATAAAGCATGAACCATCCCCGAATATCGCCCACTACATCATCAAAGATGTGACAAACACTGTATATATATACAAGGAATTTTATTATTAAGTGGTAGCTATACGTCGCTTCCATTCCACATTTCATTATAACGGCTTTATGGTCAGTGAAGTGGGAGATCGGTGATAGGGCGTAGTGGGATGTTTGCAAGCGCGAAGTAGCAGTTTGCAAAGGTGGAACTATAGGCGGTAACGTAAAAACAAAGGGACGAACGGACCCACGCCTTTAGGAGCTTCGCTCTAAAATTATTATGACGTATTGGGTACGTGCAGTGTGCTTGTAGCAGTTACACAAAGAGCTAAAAAATGCTCTGAAAAGCCGCTCTTCTAGCTTTTGCTGTGACTGTGCTGCGCAGTTCAGCGCAGGCCTGCGCTTTTTCTCGTTTGTAATTTCAGCTCCAGTTGGCTTCGCGTTGCTTGAAGTTGATTTGTCAGGAAGCAACGATTAGGAAAAGTTCAGCAGTTGCACTTCACCACATTAACCTCTTCGGCTCAGTAATTTAAACATGCTCACGTATTTCACAACGATCCGTGCTTTTATGCGAAACAAAACCAAAACACAGCAATAAGCAAAGTCACAAGTGCGTTGAATCCCACAGGCCTGAAGACTGGAGGCTAATTTGTGTTTTGTATACCCATCGTTTCCGTAGCCGCTGAACGATCGCAGCGCCGAAGTTCCCTCCGGAAAATTTATGAAACCATGACGGAGACAGTCTGGGTTAGATTCTCACCTGGTAAAGAAAATGTTTTTGTTTGCGTCTTGACTTTTCGACCCCGGACAAGATTTTTCGCTCACAACCAACGACACCGGCACCAACGCCGGAATTCAGGCGAAATTAGCTTTTTTAACGGTGTGCGTGTTGATACAATATTCAAAACATGTTTGTACAGCAAGGATGGTGGGATAAATGCTGCATATAGGCAGCTTGACTGGTCCCACCCACCCGAACAATAACAGAAGAAGAATCCTCACATGTCACAATAGTAAAATACAAATACAGAAGGCAAAGCGATAAGAAATTTAGTCAAAAACACACATTTTCAACAAACACACAAACTAGGTTGGTACACGTAAAATTAATTGACACATTGTCTTTTTTAGACAGATGACGTATGTTGTCATCGCATAGTTTATATTTCTGTAGTGTTGACGGAAGAGACAAGAAGTGTGTTTCAAAACCGTAGTGTGTGCCTGGTCGCGCAACTGCCCAATGTTCGGCGTGTCGGTTCAGAGGCACCTTTGGATTGGATCGTATCAAGCCGTAGGGCCGCGTGACTCAAGTTACCAAATGCAGTGTGGTGTCTTACTATCTTCGCTCCAAGCTCGCCTTATGGCCACATTACACGTGCACGTTGGACTTCAAAATTCATTGAGATTCAATGGGTACGGAAACCTTGGGTCTGCAATGTTGGCGACGACACTGACCCAGAAGACTAACTTTTCAAATAGGAGGAAGGCATCACCTAAGTCACTAGTCTGCCGATCATGATCGCACAGGAGCTACATTCTTTGCAGGGCGTGTGTCTACGTAAAAAAGTGGATCCTCTAAGGAGATCGATATACCTTTGCATCATATTACGTCAACTACGACGTATTGACAGGTATAACGAACGCACCTCATTTGGACGGTCCAGATGAGATCTCCACCCACAGTTGTCGCCGTATACGATCGAAATGGGATTACCTGATAGATGCCCTATCGACTCGCATTTGTTCATTTACATGGCATTAAGCATCCCCGGTGTCATTCAAGTATACGTGGCCTTCCCGTACAGAATTGTTATTAAGAGGCGACAACTTCTAATTATAATTAGGCATATTTACGTTTACAGCGAAAAATAAATCATGCTCCGAACGGCAACGACATAGCAGGGCATTCTTGCACGTGAACGACAAGCGAGCCGCTGTTCTGAAGGAGAAGCTTGTAGTCATACTGAAGTCGTAAATGACAATACCTGTACACTCACTCACGGCCAAGAATGATCGCCCGAAAGCGTAAATCGAAGGATTGCATCCTAGAGAGGAGCCAGGGACAGGCCAAGTTTTGCGCTAGTTTATTACCTATTGACGTCTACGTCTATGTCCCGCTTTAAGTTCACCAAGAAGTGGTGGCGGACGACAAACGTTCACGCCGCGAGTGGGGACGTCTTCGACGGAGGAAGCTTCACCGTGCCCGCACATCTACGCCTTAGGGTCCTCGTTCTCGTTCTTGGCTGCGCGATCGTCCTTGGCCGGGCCAGTGTTGGTGACGACGCTGACCTCGGTCGCAGCGTCGGTCCTTCTGGGCCTATCCTGTGTAAGGACATCCTTCCTAATCGAAGAAGGAACCTGCGGTTCCAACCTTGGTCCGGACGAGAACGGCAGGCTCTCGCTGGAGCCTATCCTGGGTGAGGTGCTTGGCGAGCTGATGATAAGACCCTGAGTGGAGGAGGCAATGGTGACGTCTTCCTCGGCTTCGACACGTGCGGCGTACGCCTCGGAGACGCTTCTGTCGACGCCGCGTCGTCGGAGGAAACGGATGTAGTCCACGTACAGGACCGGGTCTCGGGGACCCCAGTCACGTGCCGGCTTCAGACACTTCACCCAGTCCTGCGGGGCCGGTCATGAGAACCACCAGGCACGATGAGCCACGAAAAACAACGCGTTTCAGTGAAGCGCGTTGTATCCAAGCTATAAAGCTGACTGAACCTTACAGCCAGATGTTGAATATAGTATGCTTGCCGTAAAGAGCGCGTTAGAAGTGATTATACAATCGTATATTCAAAAACTTCGAAGAGTTTTACCCCCGTATTCACAAACGCTCTTCGACTCGACTCGCACCCTTCACTTGACAGAGTTGAGCAATGTGCCACCGCTCGGCTGAAAATGACGCTGCGCTACTGAAGAATTGCAGGAGATTATCGCTGATATGCAGTGACTTCCCGTGTCTAGAGAAGGCGCTCCCATCGGTTTCCTCAAGTGAAGGTGAAGCATTGAGTGAAGGGACGTTCTAGAATACGGGGGTTAGTCCATTTGTTGACACTTTTAGTAAGATTCCACATCCAGTCATTGAAACTAGCATGCTGACAGTACAGCGCACGTTATCACAGTGCAATTATTTATAAAGTAAAATATTTAATTAACGTTGAGTTATTTGTGTCAGGTAATTAAGTACACCATGGCGCTACTTCTAGTAACATTCCGTATCCAGTCGTCGAATGAATAATCTTTCATTTGAAAGATAATTTTTATAGTGGGACGTTGTATTCCTTACCTTTCATCAAGTATAGCAGATTTTCTTAAGTGAGCGATGAGTTGGCTAAAGCAGCACAATGACAGACTATATAACCAGTCTGGTTAATTAAAATAAGGGCATTAGCGCAAATGCAATCGTGAGCACTTCCCATTTTGTTCAGGGTGATGCTAATAAGAAAAGCATGATCATTAACAGTGGGAAAGCTACAGAAATACTGTGAGAAAAAGTGTGAATATAGGGCACTGCACGTACGAAGTTCATCTTCTTGGCGTAGATGCACGCGAAAATGGGAACTTGCACCAGACCAATGAGAACAAAGAAAATTCCGAGGATGTCAGCCCAGAGAGGATAGAGGACACCATTGGACTCTGTACGACTGTGCGTCATCACGGAACGTGCCACGATGAGCTGAAAGCACCGCACAGAATGACGCGTTAGATGAACGTGCTCACAACTGGTCGTATCTTAACGTTTAGCGAGACAAATGTGTCAAGGCGAGATGGAGGTACGTGGACGTGGCCTGCCGATCAGTCCCATTCCATCTCACCCCTTTACCAGCGCTATATATCTAAATATTGTTACAACACAAAGAAGATCGAAGCCTGGAACGTATTCTTCGCGAAGCTTGTTATTTAGCCGAGGATACTCCTCTCATGAATAACCTTACTAAGACTAGGCCTTTCTGTTTTCGCATTCATTCAACTGTTTTCATGGCATCCATTTTTGAAATACTCTCCCACGCTTGTAAAGGCTTCATGATCAGCAACCGGCATGGCTACGACAAAGTAACTCATCAACGCAGCCATCTTATAGCTGCCTGCTGCAGACTCAACGGTCGCGGCAGTGAATCTCAGTAGCGGCGGACGCATTTTGATGAGGGCAAACATGCTTGCGCACTTAGATTTAGGTTCACATTGATGAACCTCAAGTATATAGTATAGATACCAGGAGCCCTCCACTATGGCGCCTCTCATATCCTGCTTTTAGAACGTACAATCACAGCACTTACTATATAAGATCTAAGAGTTGGAAGCAATGCGCTATGTGGCAGTGTCATCCGCCATTGCTGCTAACCTCTATAATTCAAGGGAGCTGCCTATACGCCTTAGATTTCAATTTCTCGTGGGGTCTGCTTGTTTTTCGATTGTGGTCCTTTCCTGGCTCACTGAAACTGCTCTACCAGCCTCGGTATTTTTCGTTGCTGCATAAGCTAATTTTGCTAATTCAAGCTTATATTTGTATCCGAATTCACCTTTGTCGTCATTCTGGAGGACAACGAGACGTGTCAAGGGCACAGGAAAGCACGGATACGTATCGGTTCGTCCTTACCGTCAGTGCAATCGGACAGACAGCCACCCAGCACAATTTCAAGAAGAGGCTTGGAGGCGAGCCCAGCATGTACTCAACGTCCAATGAGATCCTTTCCGGGCCTGCAGTTTGGTAATGAACACAGGTGACTTTTTTTATTGACGATGGTCAGAAGCTCAGAGGACAGCGACAGGATAAGTGAAGTACAAAATATGGAACAGGTTTGATGGTAAAATCTATGCTATAGTAGCTGAACTAGATATAAACATAAAAAAACCAACAACAACGAAGTCGTATAATTGTGCAGTACGTGACAAGCGTTCTTCTTCTGACAATGTAACAAACATACATCATGGTGAACATTTATCTTGCCATCAACAATTTTCTCACAAGTGTTTTGAAGACATCATAATCAAACATGTTTTCCGTCAGTGGAAGTGAGTATGCAAGCTGTGAACAGGAAGCTACTATATTTATGTTTGCCCGGTTGAGAAAAAAAAAGCGAACTGCATGCCTGAAAGAATGCTCTCGCGAGAACTGGTCTCATTTAACTATTTAAGCTGAAGGCCGCGGAGAGGCGTCGAATCTCACCGTAGAACCAACAAACGGTGTACAGTTCCATGACGGCGATTATGGGCAGTATCATGCCACCGATGTACGTGTCGATTAGGTTGAGCACGTAGAGACCGCCCTGCGTAGAAGGTGGTTGCGCGTTGAGGTCTTCTGGCACATCTTTAGCAGGAAATTATAGGGCCGTTAAACTACACGGAGTTCGAAGGTGCAGTAGTTCCTCTCTCGCCTTCGCTAACCCTTCCTACAAGCGTCATCACTTCCTCGCCACTTACTTTTTGAAAGAGGAGCTGATTGATTGATTGATTGATTGATTGATTTGTGGGGTTTAACGTCCCAAAACCACCATATGTTTATGAGAGACGCCGTAGTGGAGGGCTCCGGAAATTTCTACCACCTGGGGGAAAGAGGAGCTCGTGCAATGTCAGCACCACGTGTTGAGTCAGACAAGATCTTGCGCTTTGACTGTATACACACTACTCTCACCGCTTGCGCAGTCGCGAACGCCGAAAAGGAAGAGAAATGAGTTTGTCTCTCCCACCATTCGTGCGAGACAAGACAGAACTGGCATTTAATTGACTGCGCCGCAAGCAGGGTACGTGACGATTCACTGCATATATCTCTCGTATATCGAACATTGAACGGTTTATGTCCTCCTGGAGTCACGCGAACAAAGAGCTGGCATCAGGAATCATGCCGTAAAAACGGCAGATGATGGGAGGCAATAACGCGCTACGTGTTTAGAGAGGTCGCATTTACCGATGCATGCGCAGGGCGCTGGTGGTGTGTCACATGACAAGGATTGTGTGCCGATTCTAGACAGCATCGTGGACAGTCTACGCTGACACCTTAGAAGACAGCATCACACCCATGCTTTCCGAGAAATGGAACACGTCTGGATGGCGTCTACGTGACGAGACGCCACCTCACGTCGAGAAAAGGAAGGTAAGATAAACAAACGTAACTATTTGTTTGTTAGCGTATTCTGCGTTCAAATATAAAAAAAATGAACGTTACTCATATTGAGCGTCCGCAGAAGCGTATGTTTATGTGCAGACGACCATTGCGGTGAGATTTGAGCCATCCGAGCATTTCGCTGAGCTGCCATTTTGTTTAGGCACCAAAGTAGCCTGCATCGTTTTCGTCTACGATCGAAGCTGTCTCGAAGGTTCTCGAAGCTGTATATTTTGCCGGCTACGTGAGAATCGAAATAACACTTAAGGCCGCCGTCCACTTGGCTATTTAGCCATACCCGGGGAGTATTGGAACACACATTCAAGTTTACTATCGTTTTAAGCAGTATTTTTGTCGTGACGATAGTATACTTGGAGCTAAAAACGCACCCACAAAGGACGTAGACTCGCCAATTCTATATATTATTCTTACGCGTCCCTGTGTGGTCGTGTTTATGGCATCAACTTTACTGTTGTTAGGAAACATGCAACAGCTAGGGTCACTTAGCTAGTACATGTTTTGTGCATCAGCTAGTGCAGAGAAGTACACCGAAAAATGCAGCTGGTAACTAGCAGCGAGTGTCGCGGCCAAAAGCGTGCCAGTTTCCCGGCCGCATATGATGATGCACCAGCTAAGCCAATGTCCAGGACGTCTTGCCTATAGCTATATTCTGGTTTTTGAAAGTTATATTTCATTCCGTGCCGAATTTTTGTCGGGTAGAACAAAATTTTTTATGTTCATTTCTATCTAAGAGGCTCTTGAAAAACATCCACCGAAATTTCGGAGATTATAAGTACAATGGTGTTCACAGTCGAACAATGCCGAGTAGACTGAATTCTAGGATTTCTTTTTTACACGTATGGCTACACGCATTCTGCCGTTTCGCTTGAAAGAGTGTTGCTTTTGGTGCAGTCCGAAGGTTAACCGTATTATGAAACACAAAAATGATTTGTTTTGATCAGAGAAAAAAAATTCGTCATTAACAGTCGCACATAGCGTCATGAAGGTAAAATTTCTAGGAGGGAGCGCGCTCAGCGTCCATATATCAATTTCATCTGACGCAACTTCCTCCTCTCGCTACATGCTCTTGGATGAATATACAGGATGCTCCTGTTTCATTTTTGATGGCTGGGCTTCACTGACGCTCGCTCCTATAGTCGGTTACAGCCTAAGAATAAATAAAATGTAAGCTCCACCCACAGAGGTCACCGTCCCATCCAGGCATAATTTCCATAAATGTGTTTAGAAAAAGAGGGTAACGATTTAGAGTACTAGGTACTATACTATATACTGTAGAGCATAAAGCCGTCTCATGGGCCTGTTGACAAAAATTACGCCGTGCGCGTAGACAACAATAAGTCCCCATGACACGTTCGGCTTCATCGGGTGTTTAGAAGAAGTGATTAACGATTTGAGTACTCGGTACTCTACTATGGGAGAGCTGAATGCCGTCCCTCGGGCGAAGGTATTGTGGAGATTCTAAACACAGAGTGATTTAGGGGACGTCAGGCAGACTTCACGAATTTCAGGCGTATCACTTGTCCGTACCAGCTCGTGATCATTTCGATAGTATTCTGTAGAAAAATTTGACGTCCTGGCGGATTTGATCAAAGATTCCGACTTCACTGTTCTGAGACACGAGACATTTTAACAAGGAATAACAAACTTTTAATTCATAATATGGATATAGTATTTGCCTAACCAGAGAAAATGTGTTTATGGTCAGAACGAAAATCGACAATCATTGCTCTACTGCACAGATGAATGGCAGGCATGCTGCAGTACTGGGGGCGGCGCGTGTATATATTCTAAGAGTTAACCAACTGAAGTTTTCTTTTTGACAGTGAAAGCTGTTATGAGATCACAACTCACGTCTCGCGCAGCGCTGTAGTTGTCCGCCGCCCCCGCCGGTGTCCGTAATCACATCACACGAAATTAGAAAAAAAAAACCTAGTACCAATGACACAGTGGGGCTCGAACCCGGGTCCACTGGGTGCCACCCCAGTGTTTCACCACTTAGAGATGCCAGTACTTGGGACGTGTTGACAAACTTGCCTTAGACAGGCTTGATATTGGGAAAGCAATCGCGTTAATACGACTTATAAAGCGTTTTAAAACAGCGAAAGACCAACCAGTCATCGCCCAATGTGAATAGCATAAGGAGTGGGTCGTCCAATGCTCCAACCCATTACAAAATATTGCTTTTGTTCAGCTATTAACTGCGGTGCATACCCACTTAAGGCATAATCATCATCGTCGTCCGCCATTGCATGAACCGTTGGCACGAAATTCCTCCAAAGTGCTTAGAGAATACCACGCTACTCAGGACAATGACGAAAAATAGCATAGCGAATGCCGGCCTACTACCCTAAAATTTTTATTATTAATGCCGTAGTGGGCATCAAAAAACTGTGCTTGGAGCGGTTACCCAATGAGTGTTTAGAAAATGCTCTGGGAGGCGACTCTTGTAGCTTTCACTGTGACTGTGCTGCGCCTTCCGTGCAAGCCTGGCATTTTTTTCCTGCATGCCTGACACGATGTGGTTACAAAACTACTGGTTACAAAAGTTACCTTGTTGCATCATTGTTTCAAGAGAACATCTGTCAAATCACACGATTTAAAATAATTCAATTTCGCGAAGAAAGCGACTAAATTAATTTGTATACTTAACAACGCCATGCGCGCGCTTTTCTTCCTGCATAACAACCATATTCTCTAAGGCACCCCCGTAAAAAAGAGGGACAGAGGGAGGTAAAACATTCAAAATTATGTTGCTCGCCTCTTATAGAAGCCTCGAAAAATTGTTTCGGCTCCGATTGGGGCACTGGTTGCTTTTCTGCACCGCCTTTTTTTATATGTCCAGTACACTGGTCCTGGAAAAGGTACTGGTATGTCCAGTGCGCTGGCCCAGCGACCAATGACCAGTACACTGGTCGCTGGAAAAGGATATTCTTCCATAAAATGCCATGAAAAAGCCTTATTTCCGCGTCGCTCGAGTACATGGCACGAGAGTAAGACGTAACTTCGTCTTGCGAACATGCGTACAGCACATGCGAAATCGAGTCACAAGTTTAACAGTACAAGTCATACCAGGTACATCATCCGTTAAAGTAACGCCTCTTCGGCTCACCTGCGTCGTCATGGAGATACCCAGCAAGAAACTGACGGCCGCAGTCACGATGGACATCGTGGCCGGGTATTTCCTGAGGAATGTGAACTCGTCCTTGAGAGGCACCAAGAAGGACTCGAACATGGCGAACTGAAACCGAGTAGGGCAAAAAGAAAAAAAAAAATGATATACTCGGGTGTTTCGTGGCGAAAAGAAATAGCATGAAAACCAATGGCAGCTTTGACACCACACAAATTTAGGAGTACCTATTTGAATTTATAATTATATTACTCTTCTTTCTTATGACACTCGCTGGTTGAAATTATACAAGACCTCCCTCGCGCTGCTCATGTAACACTCGTTCAGAAGATTTACTGCCACGATATGCGCGTAAATCCAGGCATAACCAAACGTAGCATCACCAATTTTCTTTGCTACTGGCCTGCCCGTTCACGGGTATGACTTATCAAGTAAGCCACACAACAGCGAACGACTCAGTGTCATTAAAAACTAGTGTCCTTGTCGCCCTGCGCATCTTTTACCCAAACTGCAAAAGTAAGCTAGAGAAGTGAACGTGAATGGCTGCTGTGCCCATAAAACTATAAAGTATAAACGTGCACTAAAACTATAGAAGTACCGCACGACTGCTCAGAGCTAACTCACTCGAGTTTTTTCAACCACGAACGAAGTTATGCTACTGGTCTTAGGGAATCGCTTTAAAATACTTGATGCGATAACAGCCGAAATTCGCATTTACTGGCAGTGTTCTTGGCATGCTCACTGATATAAAAAAAAGACGCGTACCACCGCGTACCACTGAAAAGAAAATAGAGGACTGAACAGACAGGGCGTCACTTGCAACTAACTTTGTTCTCGGAAACATGAGCGACATATATAACAGTAGCAACCATGCGCGTGCAGATTTGTTATATTGGTTAAGTACGTAACTGATGTCCCGAGAATAAAGTTAGTTGCGAGGGACGCCTTTTCTGTTCTGTCCTACATTTCCTTCCTCAATGGTACGGGTCTTTTTCTATTTCCGTAAGCATGCATGTACCAACTATCCCAATAAAAAGTTTTATGTTCTTGCCATATTTAAAACCAATAGTAAAACTCAACCTTCTGCCCACTCCATCTATTCCCTTGAGCAGAGCTCTCTCAGCTGCGTAGTGGCTGTTGCTACAGAAGGGAGTGGAAGGTTGGTTGCTTGGTGTCCGTCCTGTCTTGTCCTAGCTGCTGCTGCGTGTAACGGATGGGGACCAGTGCCTTTCGATACGTTGCAACAACTCAACTTTATGTACACGAACATATGTACAAGTTTACAAGACTCTTCACTGTTGGAACCGTCGCATGTTGCCTCGGCAGAGCCGATAGTGCAGAGCGCTCTCTGCTGCGACCAAAAGGACGGTGAGGAAACGGGAGCCAGGTTTTAACCCCTTGGTTGCCCCTCCCCATTCTCCTCACGGCCAACCAAAACAATTTAGTCTGTTTAATGGACAGACTAAACACATTTCTCGCCGTCCTCTCCTCACGCTCTCTTATTCAAGCACTCGACTTCTCGTTCGGAGATAGAGAGACGAAAGGACCGGCCTGCACATTACGTTCCGTGAACTGTGCGAACGAACACAATGGTGGCGCCGTTCGGCTGCAGGCCCTTTGCCATTACTGCAAGATGACTACGCTGTCCAGCGCGACAGCCGTCCCGCGGACTCAAATCCAGATGGATGGGTGCCGATACACCGGATGTCCTCACGTCGCCCACCGGCACTTTGCTGGCCGGGGACCACCTAGCTGGTTGTCAAAAGCGGTGACCGACTACGACCTTCTTACCAGAAAGGACGTCCTTACGCCAGAATTATCGTCTCCCGAGGATCGGCTCTCTGGGAAGCGCACCCTTCGGCGACAAAGAAGACTCACCCCCCTTGGCTTGCGACGCCAGACCTTACACCGTTATTCCCGCTTGAATAGATGCCCATTTCTACTCCTCCAGAACATTTTAAACTGAAATTTTCGTTGCAGTGTCTTTTTTTTCGAGCGTGGAACCCATGTGAAATAATGCTTTACAGAGTGAATATCTTTTTCTAACTTACACCTTTTTTTGTATCAAAGAGCTTAGCCTGAGTATTCTAATGACACATTGACAACGCTCCGAGAACAAACTTACCTGGCTGTCGATGGCGAGCAGGAGCAACATGAGGAAGAAGGCGAAAGCCCACACGTTGGAGCATGGTATCAAGCTGGCCGCCTCGGGGTACGCCACGAAGGCGAGGCCGTGGCCTGGGGGCAAGTTGCACAGCACGCGGAATACGTTAGGTTAACGCGTCTATAAGACGAGAGCCTTATGTGCCTCATCAAACGGGGATGGACCATCGTCGTCAGTACGAGCTATGAAAAAAAAATTCGATAACGACGTGGTTATGACGCAACAGGTCACAAAAAGTTGCGAAGTCATGTCACGATGGCGTCACTTCACGTCGCAGAGTTACAGGGACTTTTCAATGCCTCCGATCTCTGCGGCAGCGTGCCACGAGAGAATGCATGCATGAGTTTGAATATGTTTAGAAAAAAATGTTTAACGATTTCGAGTACTTCGTACTCAACTATGGGAGAGCATTGAGCCGTCCCGCTGTCCGTACATCGGTTGCCATGGATTAGTTTGAATATTGCAGAAGAATTAGCTCATGCACGTTAGCTCATGCACAGGTGAGCCAGGAAAGTGAAAGAGTGAAACCTCTGCAGTTAATTTCCCAAACCTGCTTATGGTATTGTCTCTGCTACAAGTGCCGCAGCAAGCTGATGACGTCTGGCGTCATATACTGAGATAGACAACTGCACATTTGAAGACTCTCATGTATAGACTCTTTCACTGTTTACCAACACAAGCCCTTGATGACAGCACGTTTAGTCTGCCTCTGTGCTTTATTGGCATCGGTGGGTAATAAGAGCGTTAGAAAATTGCCCGCCGAGTTCCGACACTTCCCGTATTTGTCAAAGTATAATTGAATAAATGTTCTCATTTCATCATTCTCTTGAATATTATGCACGTTCTTGTTATTTGAAAAACTAATAGGTGACTTTCCTTACCATTACAAAAACGCGAAAACGTTCTTTCGGTTTCGACTTTAGGAGCTGGCAAATGAGGTGACCGGAAGTTTTGTTGGGGCACAACGCTTGCAATCTTTAAACCGTCTATACAATGGCCCAAAGTTTCAGTTACGTAATGACACCTAACAAAACAACATTTGCCATCTTTATCGGCCACTTGTTTAGAAAAAAGTATTGTCACAAATGTCAATAACATTCAACGGAACATTTTCTTCTTAGACATACAATAAGGATGATGACAAAACAGATGGCAATTACATAAACATGAATATGAGATGACGCTAAAAGAGTATACATTCGATGGTTCACACAAACACAGCCACAAAAATTATTTCAAGGTAAACAAGAGACAGAAATTAAGCATGAATATGTACATTTTGCAGATTTACATGTTGGCATGCCATTTCTGCTGGCCCATTGACAAATCAGCCTACCAATAGCAGGCTGGCTGAAAGACAAGTTTCGCTCCTCCGTCACAGAACGACACAAACGAGCAAGACCAGTGCCAAAGAAATTCCTCTTCACCGAGGAAGAAGAGCTCCTCCGACAAAACAGACAGCAGCTCCGAGTACAATCGCTCTCGGATCGAGAAGAGCGCGTGGTGGCGGCGGCCCGCTGCAACCATCTCGCAGTGGTTGCACCAGAGGCAGAAATAGCCGGCAACAATGAGAAGACAAGCGAAGTGGCCTCGCGAACAACGCCCAGAAGAAACGAAGCGATTTACTCTGAAGCAGCGATATCCAGAATGTACGGCTCTCCAAAAAAACGTGAGCAATGACACAATGCCTAAGAAAATGCTACTTTGTTTCCCGGAGAGAGCAGTGTGGGCATGTTGCTGACAACCATTTTCCACCTATCGAGGTGGTCGAGAGTGAGAAGCACACCCCACCACAGGCGCCGCATGATGTCCCGGAGGAGTCCAGGCAGAAAAGAAGCCGTTAACGTGCTCCAAGACACCCGACTATAGAGCGAGCACGGCGGGCTGGGGGAACCAACGGAAGCAACAAAGCAGCAGTTGCCTCAACTATGTAGTTGTTCAACATATCTATGCCAGGACAGGTCGACTGAACATGGCGAAAAAATGCAACAGTTGTTGCATAAAACAAAGGAAGTGTTATTGACTACGGCCCCCTGTTAAGGTGCACATTAGGCATTAAATGACGAAGGTGAGTACCCAGAAAGTAATATGCAAGCGTTCGTGCGGAGGCGCAAAAGGAAGCGCAGTGCCAGCAGCCGACAGCGTATGGACACTATAGGGAAAGCAAAGCCTCCCTGAGAACGCTGCTGTCCCAGTGCCGCACGAGAGACCAACTCAGTGCCGCCTGGCAAAAAAAAAAAAAAAAAAGGCAGCATATCCACGGAGTGAATGATGGATAGTGGAGCGAAGCATCTGTCCGTCCATTCGTTCTTGCTTCCGTCCATCCATGCGTGCGTCTGTGTGGCCGCCCGTGCGTCCATCAGCTCGTCCGTGCGTGCGTCTGTTCGTGCGTCCGCACGTTCATCTGTACGTCCGTCCCTGCTTTCGTCCATGCATCCGCTCCGGCCTCCGTCGATACGTCCATCCGTCTGTGCAGCCATCCGCGCGTCCGTGCATGCATCTATCTGTCTGTGTGTCCGTTCGCCCACCTATTCAACACTCCAAGTACCACCATCTCGCATCTTTTCATCATATATTCCTCATGTAGAAGCACCGTCATCCAGCGGAGATTCCAAGGACTGAACGAGAGGAGGCACACGCACGCTTTCTTACGGCTTGCGCTTCGTGTCTACTTCCCACTTTTAACCACCTCGAGTTCATGGTATATACTAGTTCACTGTATTCACGACACTGCGGCCCAACGCTCGCTAAACCTTTCTAAAACCAAGGAAATTACACCCAGTGAGTATCAACGTTACTAGATACTTTTTTCAGTTTGCAAACTGCGGCGCAGCGAGTGTCACCCTTCCCTGTACCGGTCAAAAAGCCGCAAGCGCGCCCCCTCTCGGCGGTGCCCGGACCCACGCCGGCGGAGTTACTGCAGTTGTGTTCTTATGCCGGGTGCTGCTTTGTTGCTTTCAAGTGTGCTTCGTAGTCATCGCTGTCACTGAGTCCCAGCAAGATTTATTTCGACGTAACTCGCGTAGTGTGTGCTCTGGCTGCAACTTACTACGGTAGCGATCAACGTGGTGCCCGGCGTGGCACCGACGCTGTCAGCGTTGGCGTGATCTGCATGGTGCCGGGTGTTTTTTAATGTCTTCAACTCAGTCATCGCTTTCCCTGTGAGCTACACAGCTCACAAGTGTCATGTGACGGTTCTTGAATGTGAGAAAACATGCCTCGCTGCTTTGTGACTGGTTGCCGAAGTGGGTACGATTCGACGAAATCCGCGGCCGAAAAGAGACATTTTTTCAAGCCTCCCGCTGACGAGGTGCGCCTTCAACTGTGGCGATGGGCTATACCGAGATCGGATACATTTAGACTTAATGCTGTGGCCCACTGTCAATGGTTTTTTTTTTTACATAGGCAATCGAATTTTAAAGAACAGGAACGCAAAATAGCTGTATGAACAGAAGTCCCGCAAGATTCGGGCATCGCGCTCACGTCTCTGCCGTGTGGCATCGCCTTAGCGGCTCAACTGGTGATTTACTTGCACACTCGTAATAACCTTCGCTCACCCTCTCGGGAAATAACTCCCATTACACAAAATTAACCGCGTAAATTCCGTTTAACATTGCGCGAAGGCTCCGTTACGATGCGGCGACCGGTCAAATCAACGTTACTAGATTACCTCAGTTTGCAAACTCCGCCGGGATGCGGCGGCGAAACGCGGCCCCCTTCGTTTCCCGCTCTCTAGGTGGCGCTTCCGACGCCATTTGACCTAGAGAGCGGGAAACGAAGGGGGCCGCGTTTCGCCGCCGCATCCCGGCGGAGTTTGCAAACTGAGGTAATCTAGTAACGTTGGTGAGTATAACGTAGCAACCCTTTCTTGTCAGATAGTGCTCCATGTACATGCCAATGGCTGCTAATGGGAATCGCAGCGTGCGCGTTAACTAAAAGCCGAATTCTCCTGTCTCTCATTCCCCCTTAGCAACCATTGGCATGTACAGTGAGCACAATCTTTTATTGTTCAACAACGCACAGAAGAAATATCTCACCGGCAACACCTTGGAGGTCAAAATGTTATACGTGTTACACACTACTACAGCGGCTATGAGGGACGAACAGGTGCCGCTATAAAGAGCTTCGCGCCTAAAAAGTACACAAAGCAGACTGCAGTGATCGCATGATGCGTAAAAACGGTTGCACGACGTGAGAAAGGTACCAAATGCGACCGCAAAAAACAGTCTGCGCAAGGTACCTCCGCTTAAGAAGACTGAATTTCAGTCTTACTTCTACGAGAGCGTTTAACCAAACGGATTCGCAACTGCCGTAGTGGTTGTATAAAATACCTAAAATACGAAGAGACGCGGCCGGCTGAATAGGAAAACCGGCGCTAAGCCGGGAGTTTGGAGAGCCAATGAAGAAATACCAGGATTTGGAGATGTTCAACGCTGCACCTGAAATGTCGCCATACTGGGAAAATACACGCAGGTTGCGTGGAAGGCTATTTTCATCTGAAAGGTACAAAATTATGTCGTCAGCGAAAACTGTGACTTTCACGACACTGCTACCAGGAATCGCCAGACCCCGGACGCGTGAATTCGCGTCAAGAGCACGCAAATATGGCTCAAGGCTGAGGACAAACAACACAGAAGACAATGGACATTCCTGATGGACCCCACGTGTTATGGAAAAGGTGGCACTTTCCCAGCCATCCAGAACTACTGTGCTTTTTCGACCAGTGTAGGTATTTCTATTCATTTCCACAAACGAATGAGGAAAGCCGAATGCTATAAGCACATTAAAGATATACGTGTGCTCTAGTCAGTCAAATGCTTTTTCTTGGTCCAAAGACACAAGGATACCATGCGCAGACCGCGACAGAGCTGTGACAAGCTGTGTATTTCTCGACCAAGCACTGATGAAGTCTGGTGATGACCTACCAGGGCGTTCAACAGACCCCTCCAACGCTGAACGACTCCCATCACGAATATCTTATATAGTCAACGTTGAGGAGCATGATAGGTCTTCAATCTTCAGGATTCAGGATTAACAGAGAAAGCACCACCTTTTGGGATAAGCACAATGCGTC